ACGGTTATGTGACGTCTTGTGGCATTCGTTGGCAAGATCCAATATATAATACTAATACTATACTTCTATGACTGAATTCTTCTATTACAGGCAACTTTCTTTTATTAACTGGTTATTTAGGCGGAGTTTCAAGTTATAAAAGCTTAAAGAACTTCATAGTTCTGTTTGCTGAAGAATTGGTTCTTTGCATGTTATGTTGGCTGGCTGGTAGTGGTTTTTCTTGAGGTCAAATATGGTGCTTTTTCTTGCTACTATTTTTGTGCTGAAATCCTCATGGTATTTTGGAATGAGATTGAATTCTTGTTGATGACTTACGCTAAGATAGAGTTCTGGATACTTGAAAACTTAACATGGAACCTCAAAACGAGTTCAAACAAATGTACCACAATTATGTAGCAGCAGGTAATGAAGAAGTTCATCCTGTCTCTGAGAGGTTTATGCAAGATGCTACAAACTGCATAAACATGAACATGAGACCTCCAGAGAGTAGTGCATCAGAAGTCAAGCCAGTTCATAATTTTTCCATACAGACAGGAGAGGAATTTGCTCTTGAGTTTATGCGTGATCGTGTCCACTCGCGCAAACCTGCTGTCTCAAATGCAGTTAATGATCCACATGGTGCTACAAGTTATATGGATCTTAAAGGTATGTTAGGCATCAGGCATACTGGGTTTGAAAGTGGGTCAGATGTATCTATGCTTACACTATCAGAAAAAGGCCCGAAAGAGTTTGAAAGAAAGAACCCATCATTTAATGAGGGGAAAATTACACATGGGTCAATGCAGACAATACGCCAGAATTCCTCGGCTTATGGAAGTAGTCGAGGTTTGCATGGCTATGCTTCATCTGGAACATCAGATAGTTCATCAACGAAGATAAAGGTACTCTGCAGCTTTGGAGGTAAAATTTTACCTCGTCCAAGTGATGGGAGGCTTCGATATGTTGGGGGTGAGACACGTATAATTCGTATAAACAAAGATATTTCTTGGCAGGATCTTAAGCAGAAAACATCAGCAATGTTAGATTGCCCTCATACCATTAAGTATCAGCTTCCAGGGGAAGATCTCGATGCTCTGGTGTCAGTGTCAAGTGACGAGGATCTGCAGAATATGATGGAAGAGAGTAATGTTTTGGGAAATGGAGAAGCAATGAAAAAACTCAGGCTATTTCTGTTAACCTCAAGTGATTTGGAGGAAGCTCATTATAGTTTGAGTGGCGGAGATGTGGATTCTGAGTTTCAGTATGTTGTTGCTTTGAATTGCATGGAGATGGGAAGTAGAAAACACTCAGGCATGCATGATATAGCAGGCTCTTCAGCGAATGATTTAGATTCATTAATGGGCCATAATGCTGACAGGGGTAGTAACAATGTAGCAGGTGCAGTTGGAGTAAGCAGTTCATCTCATGGTGGAGGTGCTGTTCCATCAACAGGAATACCACCTTCACAGCCAATTGTACCTGGAACTTCCAGCAGTCATTTGCCCCATCCTCATCAGTTTCAAGGACAAGCAATTCACCTTGAAGAATTTAAGGGGTATCCACTGCACGGTGGTCATGATGTTCATCCCTCTGCACACTTGACCCGAGAGGCAAGTAATACTATTACGTCACAGCATGGAATGTCAACACATCTTCAGAAAACGATAGATGCTCAGGTATGTGAAAACAAATTTAAATTTGTAGTTTAAACAGTATTATGGAAGAGAAAGTGATAGCTGAAGATTCTGTCCACAAAATAACTGATTATTATAATGGATTCACCTCTCTAAGCTTGATAATATTTTTTCACAATCTCATCAGGGTGACACAAAGGGTAATCTTCCTACTGAAGAAGCATCTGGGTCCACTTTCAACAACGCTGTAGTGAAAGATTTCTCCGAGTTACCACCAAAAGGTGAAAAAAGACACAAGGAACATAGCCAGACCTCTCAGTCTGATGCTGTGCATTTACCACGGGTTTTAGAGCCGACCAATCTTGAAAATTCGCACCCTTTTGACTATGAATGTGCTTCTGAACATGCTCACTCAGAACCTAATTCATTGAATATGAATCACAATGAACTTTCTGCAGCCTCAAGGCCTTATCTCTCAGTGAACATACCTAGGGAGCAGGGAGAGCTGCTGAGCCGGCTAACTAAATCTGATGACTCCCTTAATGCTCAGTTTCTTATGTCACATTCACATACTTCAGCAGTTCAGGAGGATCCAGTCCCAAAGTCATCTGGAAAATCACAAAATATGAACGTGGTGGCTGAGTCAGCCATGCGTACTGACTCTAGAGTGGTTGACAGTGAAGGAGTTATATATTCGGCAGATAAAGACAGTGTTTCAACAGCACGCGAAGCTAATCCATTTGTTGAACATAACTCGGAAACATCTCTCCCAAACGATAATCATAGGGGACACCTTGTTGATAGAGGTGAAGTTGAGCAGGCACGTACTGATGCTAGCAAACCATCTAATAGTGAGCAACATGATCGTGCTTCTACTCTTGCTGAGCACAAAAGAGCAGATGGAGCTGGCCAAAATTCTACCGGTAATGTTGATGAGAGTATCCTTATAGATATCAATGACCGCTTTCCTCGTGATTTGCTATCAGATATGTTCTCGAAGGCTATTTTATCTGAGGAATTATCTAGCATTAATCTGCCGCATGATGGGGCTGGCTTGAGCATGAATATTGAAAATCATGAACCAAAGCATTGGTCTTTCTTTCAAAATCTGGCTAAGGATGATTTTCGGAAAGATGTTTCTTTGATGGATCAGGATCATCCTATTTATTCATCTGGACTTGCCAAAGTTGATGGAGAAGGTCCAGGTGTTTACCATTTTACACCTTTATCAACAGATGTGATTTCTTCCAGTAATGTTGATTCCCACATGTTTTGTGAATATGATCACATAGAGTTGCCTGATACTGCTTTGGCTGATCAGGTAGTCTCTACATCAGATTATAACCCCTCCTTGCAGCCAAAATGTAGTGAAGCTGTCCAATATGATGGTGTTGGGGCTTCATACTCAGATTATGAGGTAAATTAATGTATTGTTAATTTATTATTATGAGATGTGATTGGATGTTGACATTATAAGTTTTCCTAACCAATTTAATATTGGCAGGAAGCCAAACATGAGACAAAGTATGTTGGTCTTCCTCCTCTAGGGCCTCTTGTGGACTTTGACATTAGCACCTTGCAGGTATCATCTTGTCTTTACATGTATAAATATTACTTATTTTATTATTCTAATTTGTAATTGTTTGATTGATTTGATTAGAAGCTAAAAATTCTATTACTTAATTTACAAATCCTTCGATTGAGCAAATCTGTTTTGCAAGGAAAAACTCTAAATACACCAAGTTTCTTGTTGACAGTTTTAGTTAATCCTATTTTCTTGTATTGAAGTGAATTTTTTTTTCTTTAAGATAAAAGAATATTAAGTTTTAATAGAGATTAGTTTAAAAAATTGAGCTCACAACCACTATATTTTATGCTGCTCTCACTTTATTTTCTGAAATCTTGTAATGGCTTTATCCTATTTCTATCTATTGTTATTTGTAAAAATTAAACTTTCAATTGAGGATTCATTCTCCACTAATGAATTTGTAGTGTTGCATTTTACTGGTTGAAATTTTGTTCCTTTGGTGGACTAGAAATGTACATAGTATATAATTGATCAGCTAGGAAGAATTAAAAATGTCAACATCGTTATATGGAAGAAGCTTCCTTATGATGTGGGTCGTAATTGCATTAGATTATAGACATCCTTCTTGTAATATATACTTCATATTTTCCCCCTCGTGTGTGTGTGTGTGTACACGTGCACGCTTGTTTTTATGGCCAGCTATAATGGCTAGAATTATAATGTAATATTTTATTCTTGTCTTGTTACATGGTATGGAGCTCACTTAAATGCTATACATAAATTGCTTACCTTATTAATGAAGAGGCTGACAGGCTCTCTCCTAAATCCCAAAAGAGAGCTCGGGAATTTAGATATGTATTGCCTCTTTAGAAAGTCTTGTAAAGCCCTCCTTATTGTTGATTTCTAATATTAGAGTCATAAGGCCCTTGATATCTTCCAGTTAGAATACTTGTATGTGGAAATATTTTACTTTACCCCTGAAATTTTGCCATTACAGATGCACCCCCCCCCCCCCCCCCCTTCTTTTTTTGGCAGTTTACATGTTACCTTTATTATATGTGCTGGATTATATAAATCACCCTACATTTGCCTTTGCGTTACTTTAACTGTTAAAATGTTGATATGTCATTGAAGGATCTATTGAATTAAATGAAATTTCAAATTAAATAAGCTTTACGCTTTTTCAAATGCCCCCTTCCTGACATTGCCCCCTCCATTCCCCTATCCCCACCGTCCTTCACCCGACCTCAACCCTCATTGTGGATCTTTGTGAAAACAATGAACCCTTTAGACTACTTCGCACTTTCAATAGGAACCCCAAAACTGATTCCCAATGCCCAAACTGCTTCCCTCTTTCCATCGTTCCTTTCCCTCATTCCTCATTTTCAGTTTCACCCACAAATAGGGGTGAAAGTTCGGTTTTCGGTTTGGTTTATAGGCCAAACCGAAACCGAACCACCCTAATTCGGTTTTTGGTTTTTGGAAACCAAACCGCACCACTTTACTTTTGAAACCAAACCAAACCAAACCATATAAATTTCGGTTTCAAAAGAAAAAACCAAACCAAACCGAATTTTTTTGGGCCTTGTTTATTTGGGCTTTAATCTGCAATTTTTGTGGGCTTAAATCATATAAATATTATATTCATCAACATATGTAGTAGCATAAATGCTTAATGAGATTTAAACAACATTAACAAGTTCTAAAACTTCAAAGTTATAATTCAATGTTTTAAAAGTTCAACACTTCATCCAAAAAAAAATAAAATTGTTCAACATTACAACTTTAACAATTGTTTAACAGCAGTAGCAACAAGCAGCATAGACCAACTTCTAAAAGGCAGTAAAAAAATTGTTTAACAGCAGTAGCAACAAGCAGCAGGGCAGCAGCAGCATCATAACAGCAGGTCAGCAGCAAAAGCAGGTCAGCACTCAGCAGCATAGACTAAGGCAGTAGCAGTGATAGAGCAAGGCAGTAGCAAGTCTGGCAAGTGGCAACAGCAAGTCAGCAATGAGCAAAGAGCCACATCAGTCTATTATTTCAAGCACTTCATCAATATCAGCATCACCAACTGCCATATTCTTCAAGTCTATCATAATTCATAACAAAAATAACCAAGTTAAAATATATACACATAATGAAAATAAGTAACTTATGATTAGATGTTCTTATATATTACCCTCTTCAAGAAGCTCAACTTCCTCTAAACATTCTTCAATACTTGGAAATGGTGAAGCACGTAACCAATTTTGAGCACAAACAAGACCTTCTACAACTCGAGGAGTTAATGAGCTCCTAAACTGACTAGAACCCTGCCCCCAGTGCTGAATGCACTCTCAGAAGCTACTGTCGAAACAGGGACAACAAGAACATCACGGGCAATTCTCCCCACAGTAGGAAACCTTGAACAATTGAACTTCCACCAGCTCAAAATGTCAAATTCATCAATATCCTCCGCTGTATCCTCCTCCAAATATTTGTCTAACTCTATTTTTGCATCTCCATCTCTCTCACACTTGTGTTTCTTATACTTACTCTTTAAGACTTCAATCTTTTTATGTTTGGGACTCAATGGAGTTTTGCCATCCTTACTTGAAGACACTTCCTCCCTATTCACATCATTACCAGAAGAAACACGATACTCCTCATACAAAGCATTCAAAGCTACCTTCACATTATCAACTAACTTTGATGCAACAATCGGGTCATAAATTTCAGTTATCATCCACTCAACATAATCAAGCTTATAACGAGGATCAAGGACAACGGCAATAAAAATCAGGAGGTTTATTTTTTCTAGATCACCCCAATACTTTTCATATTTTTCTTTCATTCTACAAGCCATAAGACACATATCCACATCATCACTTGAAACCAAATCTTTCATAAGTACAGCAACACTCACCAATTCATGAAAAAACAAATTCAAACTGACATATAAAGAGCCAGAGACATGCAAGGTCAGATCATAAAAGGCTTGTAGAAATTCAGAAAGTCTTCTTACATTATTCCAATCATCAGAATTTGGGCTACCCTTACCATCCCTCTCATTCAAATCAACTACATAGTGAGGGTCTTCCCCAGAATACCTCTCAAAAGCATCTTGAAGCTCAATAGCAGCATTCAACATCAAATAGGTGGAGTTCCACCTAGTAGGCACATCAAGGCACAATCCCTTTTTTGTGTTGATTTTTTCATCTAAGACATTTTTTAAACCTTTGCAACCTAGCAGGAGATTGTTTGATAAACCTAATAGCATGCCTAACACGTTGAACCGACTCATTAACAGTTTTCAACCCATCAGAAACAACCAAATTGACAATGTGTGCAACACAACGCATGTGAAGGAAACGACCCTTAAGAACCCCAGTTTTCCACCCATTTATTTTCCTTCTCATATACCCAATTGCAGTATCATTTGAGCTAGCATTATCAACTGTTATGCACATGACATTTTCAAGCCCCCAATCAAGCAAACACTTTTCAATTTCTTTGCCAATATCATCACCCTTATGACTAGAAATAGGACAAAAATTCAGAATTCTTTTGTGTAATTTCCAATTATTATCAATAAAGTGGACAGTCAAGCACATGTAATTGATTTGTTGTATAGAGGTCCATGTATCAGTGGTTAAAGAAACTCTTGAATTACACCTTTTTAACACATTTTTCAGCTTTCGTTTTTCAGTTAAATATGTTTCAAAACAATCTTTGGCTACTGTAATTCGAGAAGGAACATTAAATCTAGGCTCTATTACACCACAAAAATGTCTAAAACCTATACCTTCAACAAACTTAAATGGAAGTTCATCAACAATCACCATAAATGACAAAGCTTTTCTAATACTACCAGCATCAAATTTGTGGTATGTCAACCCACTAGTACCACCACTTGGTTCTTTAGCACTTTTAAATGAAAGCAAACTTTGTTTTGAATCTTTAGGGGTGTTAAAGGGATACTTACGACATCGCGAAATATGAGCCCATAACACACTAGTGCCGTTTTTCTTTGCCCCACACTTGTAGCTCATCCCACAATACTTGCAAATTGCATGCATTCCAGAAGGTAAGTCTTCTTTATCAAAATGCTCCCAAACTTCAGAGCGTTCTTTCATCCTCTTCCTTTTTGCTCCCTGTTCTTTTTTCTGATTTTGAGAGACTTGGTCAGTCTCATGTTCGGATTGAGGTTGGTCAGGAACACCACCCACGTTGGTTGTCATTCAATAATTCGTGGTTGAATAACAATCTGTAAGAATACATGCAAACTCATAAATTAAGAATATTGGATCTTTTAAAGGGAATAATAGGTTGGGGCCGTTGTGCATTAGTCATGCAAACTGTTTTCTTGTTTATGAGGCTTGGTGCAAAACTTATTATGATATTATATTAACAATTGTTGTTAGATGAAATTAAGTTAATATTGGGTTTTGTTAGTTTTGTTACATATTTTTGAATTGTAGTTAATTTATTTTAGTAAGAATTACAATGAATTTATAGTCCTATAAAAAAAAAAAGAGACTTACAGTACCAATAATAATAATTATACCCCTAATAAACAAAATCAGTAGTAACTGGCTAACTGCACCAAAGACAATAACAATTTAGCAATAATAATTAGCCCCCTAAGATTCCACCCCACCACCCAAAAACAATCAAATTAAGCACTAACTGACTAACTGTACCCAAAACAAGTAAAATCAAAATTAACAATAATAACAAAGATCAACAATCTAATAAACACTTATCAAGACAATGATAATGCTATTAATCATGCGAACCCTTGAATTAATAACTAACTAATACTCTAAACAATCTTCAACAGAGTCCAATCGAATAGAGCTTCAAAATACCAGAAAATTCAAAATGTTTTACTAGACCAAAACCCTAATCAGAATGTTTTACTAGACCAAAATCCAAAATACCCTTGAATAGACCAAAACCCCGAAGCATCAAAATACCAGAAAATTCAGAATGTTTTACTAATTTGTACAGAATAGAAAATTCAGAAACAACATCGCAATATGAACATCAAGCATAGATTAAAACCCTAATCAGAATGTTTAACAAATTTGTACATGTAATTTGCAGATTTTCGTAATTAACATTTAACACTAATCATAATTAAAACCCTAAAAAAATATGAACATCAAGCATAATCAAAACTTAAAAGCATACCTTTGGACGGTGGACGGTGTCACAGTGAACGCCTGAACGAGTGCCGGTGAACGATGGAGAGTGAGAATTCTGAGAAACACAAAAGAGATGATTGAGAAACTGAGAAAGTGAGGGTGAGAGACTGAGAAATTCGCAATGAGGGTAGGGTAAGAGGCGAGGAACTGAGGAAGTCAGGAGAGAGAATCAGAGAATGAGGGTTAGGGTTTTTTTTTTTTCCTTATATACTTAGGGTAAATCTGGGCCTAAATTTCGGTTTTCGGTTTTTTTTCGGTTTTCCATTTCCTCAAACCGAAACCAAACCGAAAACCGAAATATTTTTTTTTTAAAAACCGAACCGAACCACTTCAAAAAAAAAAACCGAACCATATTTCTTATTCGGTTCGGTTTTCGGTTAGGTTCGGTTTTTACCCGAATTTGTTTCACCCCTACCCACAAATACAGCTTCTCTCTTACTTTATGGCAGCTTAAACTTCTTTACCTTCCTCCCAATCCTCCAGCTTATTATCCACCTACTCCTAAACTGAAAAAAGTTACATGTATGGGGGAAAATTCCAACCTGCTCAATGAAGGCAGTTTGGTAGTTCCCCATTGGGCAAACTCCCCTACTCTGGTTTTTTCTTTTGGACCTTATAGTTTTGTATCTGAGGGCATTTGAGGCAGCTTAGCCAACCTCAAATTATGAGGAGGGCTGCATGTTTTTTTTCATGATAAAATAGTTCTTTTGAATACAGATCATCTCATCCATTGAAGACTCTTGTTTGGTTCCTTCTATTAAGAGACCCCTCTTGATCTAGGCAGCATCTTTCAGAATCTAAAGAGGGGGGGGGGGGGTTGGCTAGGAACCCTTTACATTATTTGGGTCTTGTTCTTCTTTGTGGTGTCCTTGATATTTGTTGAAAATGACATAGATTGTCTTTGAGTTGGGTTTCAAACTTTCATCTGTCTGATTGTGATACGTAACCATAACCTGTGCTCAAGGGTACGAGAGTAGCTTTTAGTTTTCATATGTTTCTGTTCTTGTTTACAATCTAGCTTATATTCAGTCATCTAACGAAGATTCTGAAGATGCAGATTGAAAAAACCCTCTTATGGGCCCGACATCATCATCTTGCCCCTGGCTGTCACTATCTCACCTGACTCCCCCTCTCCCCCTCTCTTATTGACCAGCAGGGGACTGACCACATTAACTGATTGTTACCCACTGGTGCAACTGTATTACCTGCAGTTGAATTTTAGAAAATAACCACTAAGTAGTCTAGGTATAACCACTTTTGGTATCTTCTTCCTCTCATTCTCCCTGTTGCTGCTTGCCATAATGCATGGACCACCCAATAGTTATTGTTGTGCTTCTCTTGTTCTCCACTGCCATTCATTCTTTTGCTGTTGTGCTTCCCTTTTCTCCACTGTCATTCATTCTTTGCTTTGCTCTCTCTCTCTGGTGGGAATGTGTTTGTGGCTGTTTGTGCTAATTGGTAACTGGTTCAAGCATGAAGGCAACTAAGGTAAAAGAGAATTAGAAATAGAAAAAGGGAGGGGTATTTGACTGGTTTCTCTTGATTGAAAATTTGAGATTCTGAAGCTCAATTCTCAAGGGTACTTTGTGAAACCTTGTGAAGGTTGTGAACAATATGTAAATGGCAAATAGTGAAGGAGTATGTATAAAATTTCTTAATATATCTTTAAAGATGAGTTTAAGTACTATATTGGTCCTCATCTTCTACTATTGATTTGCCAAGCTGTTGTGGGTTGGTTTTGAGGAAATCACTTTCCTTTTGCAATTATCAACAGTGTTAGTCTTCATATATACCACTTAAATATAATGCATTTTTCTTGCTAAGCTTTGTCATTCCTGGTGAAGTGGTCCTGAGTCTTCTCACACACTTTTTAAGCATATTTGTCTTAGAATATTGAAAGTCATTTAAATTGAGTATGTGTGTGTTCGCTTCCGTATCAATCAACCAAAGCCTTAACCCCCCACTTATGGGATTAAGGCTTTCATTGATTGATTGATAGTGTGTTTGCTTCCATATTAACTGGCTTGTAGATTGAAGATCTAGTGGTACAGGTTGATAGTGTTGTGGCAGTGCATCTGTTTTGCTTCTGAAATGACTCCCTTTAATTGCTTTTCCTGTTCTTGCAGATTATAAAAAATGATGATCTTGAAGAGCTTAGAGAACTGGGTTCAGGAACTTTTGGCACTGTGTATCATGGAAAATGGAGGGGAACAGATGTTGCTATTAAGCGAATAAAGAAAAGTTGTTTTACCGGTCGTTCATCAGAGCAAGAAAGATTGGTAATTTTTCTATACTCATAAATTTTTATTACTACCTTCGCTAAAACTTATTTGCAACATTTTCCATTTTCGGTTGCTATCTATTATGTGCAACATTTTTTTTTCTTTCCACTTTTAGCAACTTTTTGCCAATTAATGACCATATTACCCTTACTTAAACAATTTAGACATCTAATTAAATCACTAACTTGATTTAACTCTTTACCTAATGAATCTGATTATTGTAATCATTTTCACCATAAATCTTTCATCTTCATCAAAATCATTCACCTGCCTCACCATTCATCTCCATCAGAATAATTCATCTCCCTCACCCTTCTTCAATTTCATCATAATCATTTATCTCCCTCACCCTTCTTCAATTTCATCAAAAGCATTCATCTTCATCAAAATCTTTCATCTCCCTCACCATTCAATTTCATCAAAATCATTCATCTTCTATTGCGATTTGGGTTCGTGTGGTCGTGGGTTCAAATTCGTGGAATTGCGTTCGTCTGGTTCGTGGGTCCAAGTTCGTGGGGGTGGTTTTTAGGGGTTTCAGTTCTAGTTCGTGGGGGTGGCGTGAGTTTCGTGGGGATGGGTTTCAGATCGGGTTTGTAGGGGTGGCGTGAGTTTCGTGGGGGTGGTTTTAGATCTGGTTTTATGTTGGTGGCTTAATTGGGAGTAAATTCAATTTGTGGTGGTTTCGATTTAATTGAATTTCGTGGTGGTTTCTTGGGTCGTGGTGGTTTTGTCTGGTTTGTGTTGGTTATGGGTGGGTTCGTGGAGGTTTTCATGTGTTCGTGGTGGTTTGCTGGGTTCGTGGGTGGTTTGTTGGGTTCGTGGTTGGGTTTTGGTGTTTCTGGCTGGTTTGTGGTTGGGTTTCGACGGTTTGGGTTCTGAGAGTCGGTAGTTCTGGTGGTTGTCGGTGGTGTTCTGGTGGTTGTCGGTGATGGTTCTGGTGGGTGTCGATGGTGGTCTGGTGGTTGTCGATGGTGGTCTGGTGGTTGTCGGTGATGGTGATGGTTCTGGGTCTATGTGGTTATGGGTTTTTGTTTATTATTATTTTTTTTAGGTAGGTTTAATAGTTAACCAAGTGCCCTTAGTTTTTAATAATCATCCTTTAAAAGTTTTGCCTAGGTGTCCGTGCTACCCCCTTTATTGCAAATAACTGTTAACGGAGGTAGTAGATCAATATTTTGTACCTTCTTCCATTATAATTTGCCTACATATGATAATGATTTCCATAACTTTGAAAATAAAATTTGTGGCATAGCTCTATTTTAAAGTTTTCAAAATGTAGAGAGTGTTTTTTCCCACCTTATTATAACAAAGCTTATATATGGATGTTAATTAATCCTCTCTACTCTAAACCATCAACAATTTTACAATCGTCACGCATAGATTCTGCCAGGAACGCAGGGTCTTGGTAGTGTTTTATGCAATTTTAGATGTGCATAGTTAGAGCCTTGTCTTACTAGTCAAAACTGGAAGAGTTTCTGTTTCTGTAAGACTGACATAACAATTTCTTCTTTTTCTTACTAAGTTGGATGTAAGATACCTATTATGCTTCTAATTTGCAAATATGTTTTGCAATTCTTAGACTGTAGAGTTCTGGCATGAAGCTGAAATCCTCTCAAAGCTTCACCATCCAAATGTGGTGGCATTTTACGGCGTTGTTCAAGATGGACCTGGAGGAACATTAGCCACAGTTACAGAGTTTATGGTTGATGGTTCTTTGCGGCATGTTCTTCTTAGGAAGGACAGGTAGAGATTCTGGCCCTGCTTTAGCTTTTGTTCTCTGAAGAGGAGTGACTACCTGCAATTTTTTTGTTTGGCTAAAAGGACTGTACTTCACTCTATAATCTGAAATCTTAAATAAGCGAAGTGTCAAAAAAAAATAAAAAAAATCAACCTATTCTGTTGTGATCAGTGATTGGAGTAAATTTATTATAAAGGACTTCTTTGATGATTTATATATGTTTGTTCAATAGCTAAAGGAGCCAGACAATTTATCAATCTTTGGGTTCGGAATAAAATGGACTAAATTATATTGGAAAATAAACT